ATACCTTGTTTGGGGAAAATGGTTCAGGAATGCGAATGAGAGAGAGAGAAAGATAATGCAAAATGTGGTAAAATGTTACCACCCGGGGAACCTGGATGAAGTGACTATGGGAGTTTTTTTGTACTAGTTTGCAACTTCTCTGCAAGTAGGAAATTGTTTCAAAATCAAAAATAAATATGTAGGGGGACTTGATAATATGGGTGAATGCAATAACCACAACGTTGCTCATGTGAAACCTTTGTAAGATTGTGTATCAATGATATCTTAATAAAAAATAAAGTAGCATTAAAAAATAAATAAATAAAAGCAAAAATATTAAAGGTGTAGAATTTCCTTTGTGGATAGTAGAGTGGGTTTTCTACTTTATAGGGCCCTCTTACAAAAACACAACTATGTCACGGATAATAAAAGTGTAATGCATTGCTGGGCTAATAGTCAGGGAGACCTCCATGCCTGTGCTACTCGCACTCTCTCCCTTTACCTCCCGCTCCCGCAAGTTTAAGCTGAAGCCAGAGCTGGGAATGGGAAGTGCCCAGCACTCAGGAAAGGCAGAGGGCTTTGAAGGCAGATGTCTGTGTCGGAACTGGAACCCCAGAAGGGCTAAGCCTGGGGCCAGTAGCTAGGGGAGGGAGGCTGAACCTGACACGCTCCCATTAAGCGGAGATACTAGAAGGAAAAAAGGCTGTACAAATCCCTGGCTACCAGCGGAAGCAAGGACAAAACCTGTCTGCAAAGAGTGACCTCCGATTTAGGCCCCCAGGATTCCCTTATATTAAGAGCAATACAACTGGGTCCTCCCTGCCCTCCGGGATTTTGGATATTGGAGAAACAAGATACAGAACATAAGGTAAAAATATGTGTGAAGCTTTAAAGGACTAAAAAAGTACAATTCTCCAAATGAGTAAATAAAATTCTTCAGATACATTTGATTAAGAACTTAACAGACCTTCTAGAAATAAAAATATTATGATTGTTAGAGGAAAAACTTCAACGAATGAGTGAAAAAGCAGATTATCCACAGTGGAAGAGAGGAGAGGATTGGTAAACTTACAGCTATAGAGCTAAAGAAATTTCCCAGAATAAACAGAAATATAAGGATATTGGGACTGAGGAGTTTAAAAAATACAGAAGGTGGAACAAGATCTAACATAAGCCAGGAGAGTCCCAAAAGAAAACGAAATACAGAGAATGCAATCAAGATAAGATTAGCATGAAAGGCTGATAATCGTAGGTAGTTCTTGACACGTGATGAAAGGTATGAATCTAAAGTACAAGCATAACATACACTAAGCAAGGTAAAGAAAAAGGAATTCCACTTAGACACACTGTGAACTGCACAACACCAAAGGCAAAGAAAGGATCTACTTCCAAGTAGCCAGAGAGAAAAGTACAAAATGCCTACAAAGGACCTACAATCAGACTGATAGTCGACTTCTCAACAGCACTGGTAACAGAAACCAGAAGGCAGTAGAACTGTATCTTGAAAGTGTTAAGAGAAAACATCAACCAGGAAAACTACCCAGAGCAGGCTGACCAGTGACATTTTCAGATATCTAAAAGCTGAGCTTACAACCAAGAGAAAGTCACTGGAGGAACTTCTAAAGAATGCATTTCTGGAAGAAAAGGGTCCTAACAAGGTCTGAGATGTGAGAAGGAATGGTGAGCAGAGAAACTGGCAAATGTGAGATTCTCGAAAATAAACATATTTGAGCTCCTAAACCCTTGGGATTTCCTGGCTGATGGGAATGTCTTTTGTCCTAATGAGGTGCCTCTGGGTGGGCTCCTGGGCGGAGCTGGTTCCCAGAAAGACCAAGCCATGGTTAGAAGCCTGGAATTTTCAGCCCCACCTCCCAACCTCCAGAGGGGAGAGGGGCTGGAAAAGGAGTTAGAAATTGGTCATGCTTAAGGGAGGCCTCCATAAAATCCCCAAAGTATGTGGTTCAGAGAGCTTCCGGGTGAGCAAGCACACCCTCGTATCAGGAGGCTGGCGTACCCCCACTCCACAGGACAGAAGCTGCTGCACTCAGGATCCTCCCAACCCCGCCCTGGGTGGCATCTGTATCCTTTACCGTATCCTTTATTTTTATTTATTTATTTATTTATTTTTTAGGAGAGCAAGGTACAGGCTTTTATTTAGAGATACAGTGAAAGGACAGAGCACCCGGCTCATGCCAGGAGGGGACAAGAGAGTCCCTACCCTTTAATAGGCTGGTGAACATAAGTGTTTCCCTGAGTTCTCTGAGCTGCTCTAGCAAATTAATCAAATCCAAAGAGGGGATCATGGCCATCTCAGATTTATAGCCAATTGGTCAGAAGCATAGGTGACAAGTCAGATGTGACTGGTGTCTGAAGTGGGGTGGGGGCAGCCTATGGGACTGAGGCCTTAACCTGTGGAATCTGGTGCTATCTCAGGTAGACAATGTCAGAATTGAATTAAATTGGGCTAAATTGTAGGACACCCAGCTGGCATCACAGAATTGGTTGGTGTGGGGACAAAGCCCCACACATTTGGTGACCAGAAGTCCAGAAGTGAAGTGTCCCATGTAATAGGAGACACACAGAAAGTAGACTGGGATTTTCTAATACAGTAAACATTAAGGAAACATTTTTTAACTTTTTGAATATACTAAACCATATAGTAAAATTCACAGTTATACTTCTTAAAAGATGCAATAAAACTGTTATCTATCTCCCTGGGAAATAAGAAGAACCTTTTTAAATGCTTTCGTCCATAAGACCCACTCTAATAAAAATGCAAAAAATGGAATTCCTCCATCCCCATCACCCATCACTACATGCATCTAAAAGATTATCTTACATTTCAGGTAGGAAGGGGGAAAGCAAGCAAAAAACATTATCATTTAGCATTTATCAGCTACAGTCATGTATACCTTGCACTTCAGAGGCTTACCAAAATTTATACTGAGAAGAGTAAGTGGCATAACTGGGGGAGAACGCGGTGCAATTGGAGCTACCTCCCAGGACACTGGCCAGGGGCCACGCCAGCACGCACAAGGATGAAGGAGGCCCATGCTTTTGAGGAAGGTAATCATCTAGAGTCCAAAACAAAGATGCAACCTCTTCATCTAACGTTTCTGATGCTATAGTTGAGTCATCTCCTGACAGACTGAAAAGAACTCTGGCTTGACATGAATAACAGATTAGTGTAGGGAACCCACCCAACTTCCCATCCTGGTTCCGTGTGATCATGGCTATATGTCCCCTTCTCTGGAGGACTGCCCTTGGCTCATGGGCAAACTGGGGACACTCCAGCCTGCCATCTACTCCTGGCAGCCAATGCCCCACTGAAGGGGCACCAAGGCCTGCCCACTTGGTTAAGTCAGGACAAATTCTGTGGTGTGATATCTATGCTTAGATCCCCACGGCCAAACCTTACCAAAGACCTCTTCTTAATAGCCCTTTCCTCTTTCCCTTACTGGTATTTCCTGAAGAGTCCTCCCTGGATAAACCACATGATCCCAAATCCCTGCCTCAGGCTCTGCTTCTGGGAAGCCAACCTAAGACAGAGAGAGCCCTTTGTGGGTAGTATATAACCCATATGGCTGCCCTGATTTCTGGGGGTAAGTCAGACACCTTTAACCAGCCATTCTGTTCTTATATCTGGTCTACAATATTACGGAGTCATCCTTTCTTGTTACAGGTACTCTTAACCAGAAACGCATTTGGAACTGGCTTTCCTGAAAGTCTAGTTCTCTCACAAATTTGAGGTAAAAAGTTGACGGGAACACACAGGTCATGAGTAAACTTGTCACACTCCACAGCCACCACCCTTTTCCTTGGCCCATGCCAGCTTGGACTGAGAACCCCAAGGGCAAGTTCACACTTCCTAACCCTGAGGTGTCATAAGTATTCAAAGCCTGGGCCGGAAATAGACTGTTTCACAAGTGGATGGGGCCTCAAGGTGTCCACTCAAGGCTGCATGATCATGAACCTTTCCTTCCTCTTTGAAGGATCATTGACCAGGTAGTCACACAGTTACCGATCCATCTGCCATTAATTAATGCTGTTCCTCCCTTCTCATGTTCCTGGGGCTTGTGTTTCTAATCAGCAGATTCAGAGGATTTGAAAGGTCAAAGTATATCATCAAGCTTTCCACTGAGATTTATGCATTTTACTGTATGTACCTCAAAATAAAAGCTTAAAGTATAACTCTAACCCCACTCACAATTTTCTACTATGTCCACCTCTGTTCTACCCAGTTGCTTCTGAGTCAAGGATGCACTACAGAGATCAAGAGAGATTAAGAAGCAGGACGGACGTTGTGTTAGTAATAGAAGGTCTGGGGTTTACTTAGGAGAAGCTGGTGCATATCATGCTGCTCTCCATGACAGTCCTCACACACCCTGTTGACCTGTATATAAAGGAAAGGTTAAAGACAAACACTGTGTTCACAGAAGGAAAGACGTGCACCACAGTACTAAGCCTGAAGATTTCTGCTTGTCCACAAACTTCTTTGCAAATTGGTTTATATGAATACGTGGCATTCTCTAGATTATCAAATTCTGGGCGGGCATACAGAGCAGTGGTGTGTTGGCTCCCTGGCAATCAGGAAACCAGAGGCCTTTGCCCTGACCCTCTATACACACACATATACACACACGAAGGTGTGTTTTCTCACAATCTCAAAGCAAATACACTCCCAGGGTGTTGCATGACACAGTTTCTACACTTAGCTGATTTTAAGTGTAGGAAAAAACATGGCCCTGCATGCCCTTGCATTTTGTGTAGGCACCAGACTCCTTCCAGATGAAAGACAAGCCCTTGGCATGCAAAGCCCATGTCTGGATAGGATTCCTGTCCCATGAGGCATCGTACTGACCCAGCATTGCTTGTGTGTAGGGAGTGTCCCAGAACGGCAGCGATGATCGGGGTCTCAGAGGTGGGGTCTAATGACATCAGGAAACCACGTCAGGGGGTATGATTGGGGTCCCGAAGAACGGCTGGGCAAGAAAAGTGTTGGGGGTGAGGGAACAGCTAGGTTCTGACTTGGTCACCGGGGAAAGAGCCCCAGCAGTGTCACTGTTCCCAGGGCTGGCTGCGTGTACAGACCTACGTCACTGCCCCTGGGGAACTCGTGAATCCTCACATACACCCACACAGCTCTCAGGAGCCTTCCTCCCAGCCTTACTGTCTTCCAGCCTCTAGTGCTGGGAACTTGAGAATCCACTGTTAGGCTAACTCTGTTCTTTTTAAGTAACCTGGTCGATTCTGGAAGTTTCTTGCTCTGTGGAGTTCTGGAGTTTCCCCAGGATAGGCCTTGATGCCAATCTTTTCCAGGACCGGCGATCCTGCCTGGGTGTCCACAAGGCCTAATCTTCAGACCCAGCCCCCTTTTTGAGAGAACCTGAATCGCTGGCCTGTTCGCGTGCTTTTTCTCCTTCTCCCCACACTCCCTTTCTCCTCCAGATCCGTCCTCCATGTCTCCTGTCATCTTAGAATTTGCATCTAAAATATTTTTTTCTTTTGCCCTGTGTACCAAGTATTTTGATTTCAACAAACACTACTCCCTTTTTTTCAGGTTATCAAAGACACTTTAAAATTTTTAAATCGTGGGATACATATTTATAGGTCCCAGAACATTTTTTAATGTTCTAATACAATCCCCTTGAAAGGACTCCTATTGTTGGGTGATTTGCCATCTGGTCCTTCCTGTGTTCTGCTTCCGTGGATGCCATGCGGGTGTTCAACTTGGCATCCACCCTCTCGCTGCGCATTCCCCCTACGTTAGCCGGTCTCTCCTGGCTTGCTTAGAGTCTTGCATTTCCTCAGCAGCCGGGCCAGGCCAGGCATCAAGATCTGAGAGGTGTTGTAAGGAGTAACGGTTTCCACATTTGTGGGCAAGAGATGAACACAGAGCACACCATGAACCTCGGCTGGAGCCCAGGCAGAAGAGCCGTGGCTCCTGGGGCACAAGTCTGCCAGCAGCCCTTCCCCAAAGACAGAGCCTAAGAGCGGCCCTGATCCCTGGGGAGCTGCCCTCTGTGTCTTCCAAAATCTGAAGGCTTAAAAAATGACCATGTTTGCTCACAATTTTATGGATCAGCATCTGGGGCTGGGATCAGCTTCCTTCTGCTCTGGCTTGGGGTGACCCAGGCAGCTGTAGACACCCAGGGGCTGGACTGCAGCTGGATGGTCCTGGTTGGATTCACTGCCCGTCTGGCTGTGCCGGCTCCCAGTTGGGTACCTCCATTCTCCTCCAAGCAGCCTCTCATCCTCCGGGGGGCTGGAGAGAGCACCTGGGCGTGGAGGCAGAGGGATCCCAGAGCACACGGGCAGAAGACAAGGTCACTCGAGGCCGATTGTCAGAAGCAACACAACGTCCTATGGGCCACTTTCTGTTTGCCAAAGAAAATCGTAAATCCAGTCCAGAGTCGGGGGTGGGGATACAGACCCAGCCTGTTTTTGGGAGGAGTGGGTACATTCTAAGACGGGGGGACTTGGTACAGCCATCTCCGCCAGCAGAGCATCTGGTGCCACTGGGTTGGCACATACAGCATTGCTCTCACAACGTCCTGTGTGGGCAGGTACACTGCTTCACCAGAAAGAGCCCGGTCTTTCTCCCTGTTCAGTGCCTGTCCCTAATGAGTTGCTTTTTTGTCTGCACAGGACATAGCAGCCAACATTCATACAGTGCTTCTGCATTTCCGTAAGTGTTGGAAGCACATTTAATAAGCACACCAATCTTTATGAAGTTGGTACTGTTATCATTCTCATGTTACAAATGGGGAAACTGAGGCTTAGAGAGTTCAAGGACCTTGTCCTGCCCACACAGTCAGTAAATAGTGGAGCTGATATTGTGGGATTTGCAATGCACCCTCTGGAGCATTCTATTCTATCACCTTTGGAAGACCCGCAGCAGATGCCTGGAAGTTACCCTCTTCCTTGACACTCCGCCTTCCTTCCCTGTCTAATCCAAGGCGGCTGTGCTCAGGGATTCTGGGGGAATAGTGGCTTGAACACCCATCCCTGCCTCTCTCCCTCCCCCTCCCCCAGCTACCTCTCTTGAGTAATGCAGCAGCCCGGAGGCCAGCAGGCAGGGTTGGCAAGGACATCTGAGCTCCAGGGTTGCCTGGGGAAGGAAGCAGGTAAGGACTTGATTTGTTTGGGGCCGAGGGAACTGTCGCTAGGGACCAGCAGCAAAGAGAAGAGCTTGCCTGATCTTGCCTCTGGGAGGAAGTGCCACACACAGGGGATCCCCGGGAGGACTGGGGGGCCAGGTACACGTGATTCCAGGATCCGGACTAAAAGCCACCAGTCAGCACTTCCCTCACCAAGCACCCACGTGTCAATTTAAATTTAACGCCCTCTTTTTTCGGAGTCCAGCTCTCAGACGGTACTCTCACAGCGCAGGAAGTCAAAGCCAAATGAGGGGTCATGTGATTAGGCAGCTGAGACTGTGTCCCAGATCTTGCCACTGGAACTGTCCATCGGGGACACCACCACTGTGTGGCTGCCACCAGGTATTTGTCAACACTCACATGACCTTTGATCTGCCTGTCGCCTCACTTAGGGGATATCCCATTTGCCCCTGCATCTCTCTTCAGTCTCTTAAGACTCAAAGTCCCAGGTGGAGTATCTGGGTTGTGACTTGTCTGTGCACAAGCTCCAGCTACCAGCCAGCAGGGAGGGGGAGCAGGGAGACAGCCGCCTGCCCTCCAGCTTCCAAGGTAGGGAGGAGCCCCCTCCGCTGTTGACTCGACAATTGCAAAAGAATCAGGTGCTTGGATTCCACAAGCCGAATATGTGACAGACATTTCCACTACATGTGGATTTTTATTGTTTTCCACTGAGTATTATTAAGCCAATAGATTTGTGGAGTTTTTTTAAAAGACAATTTTTTTACATCAGTTTTAGGTTCAGAGGAAAATTGAGAGGAAGGCACAGAGATTTCCCAGATGCCCACTTGCCCGCCCCCCATGTGTAGCCCTCCATGTGTACCACTATAGCAGTACATTCATTACAACTGACCAAATAAACTTGTTTGTAAATTAAGAAAATTGGTTTGAGATTTGCTGGTTAATAGGCACTTTTAACAATGGCTTGGTTTTCTATAGATAAGTAGATCTTACCTGTGCATTTACAAAGGGCCAGTGTCCGCACACGGACCTACATCTGTGTCACACTAATGTTCAACTAATACAAATATACTAAGGTCAGGCTAGTGATAAAAGAGAACCAAAGAGAAGATGGATTGCTCCCAGCCCTGATCACAGGGGAGTCAGTTACTTTACTTCTTTAATTCAGAAAGATAAACATGAAATTAAAATCCACCTGCAACCCATGGGAGAATTTTCTCGTGCATTGCTTTGTGCTGAGTTAAACAGCAGGTTAACAGATTTGAATACAACAAGGTTTACAGAATGGTAAAGCAACTCTGACACAATTTAAACTTTCTCCAGGAGCTCAAGCTGCCTCTTAGGACTTTGAAGCACCTCCCAGCATGAACACAAATGATTACTGTAAATTCTCTATGGTATTTTGATTAGCCTTATGATATTAGAGTGTAAATAAGCGGGAACATATTTTGTTTGGGGTTGTATATCAATTTGGATAGATAGGAGCAAATGCATATTATAAGACAGAAAGAGAAAGGAAGTGTATACATGGTAGGAACACACTAGCACAGACATCCTTACACACCACAGTCCCCATTTTGAGGATACCTCAATCCATGAATAGCTAGGAGAGATGTTAGCCAACATTAAGAATTTCCGTGGAAACATTGTATCAGGGGGATTGCAAGTTCAGGCTCTCCTTGTAAGCTTTTCATTCATAGGGTAAAACCAAATGGTTTTCTTTTGAGAAACCAAAAAGAAAGAAATGGAAGGTACTAGAGTTGTGCAGGAGAGGGGCCAGAAATCTGCATAGGGGGTCCCCTTACATCTGCTGATGAAAACTAATTTGAGCAAGTGTAGGATAAGGCCCCACAAAGCCAGACCAAAGAAAACCACCACAGCAAGAACAGCTACCAGGCGCCCTGGAGCTGGACGTGTCCAGACCTCAGGGAGCTACAAAACTCTCATGGCCAGCAGGCCTGAACTACAGGGACTGTTAAAGGAAGCTCTTAAGGCTAAAGGAAATGTCACCAAATGGGAACTTGGAGCTACAGGAAGAAAAGGGGAGTTCTGGAAAGAATAAACAACATAGTTTTCTCCCAGTTTTCAATGTTTTAAGAAGATGGTTGACTGTTTAAAGCAGAAAACATGGTGAAGAACTGTAGGGTGTTAAACATATGTAGAAATAAAATAGAATAATACTAGCACAATGGATGGGAAGGAGTAATGGAAGCATATAGTTTTCACGCTGTATGTGAAATGGTGTGCTAATACATGAAAGTAGACTATGATTAGCTACAGATGAATAGTATAGACCTTAGAATAACCATTTTAAAAATAACTCAAAGAAATATAGCTAATGAGCCAACAGAGGAGGTAACATAGAACAGGAAAGAAAAAAAAACGAAGACTATATGAGACTAACAGGAAACACAGTGATGAGGGGAGTGTGACTCCAGTCATATCAGCCATTACACTACATGCATATGGACTAAATACTGTAAAAGAGAGATTGTGGGCCTGGACAAAAAAGCAAGATTAGCCTTATGCTACTCACAGGAGCTGCACATTAAATGTAAGAACAAAGGTAGACTCAAAGTAAAAGGATGAAAAAGTTATACCAGCAAACACCAAAAGTAAAACAGCTGGAGTGGCTATATGAAGATCAAACAAGATAGGCCCCAGGCTAACGAATATAATCAGAAATAGAAAGGGACATTTTATAATGATAACATGGTCAATACACCAATTAAATAGAACAATCCTAAATGCATGTGTGTCAAATAACAGAGGTTTAACCAAACTGAAGGGAGAAACAGACAAATCAAACCTGTTTTGGAAACAAGTTCTTCTAAGGTTAAACATATACCTTCTTATGACACAGCAATTCTACCTCTAGATATTGACCCATGAGAAATAAAAACATGTACACAAATGGATTTGTACAACCATGTCAATAGCAGACCAGAACCTGGGAACAACCCAAATGTTCATGAATTAAGAGAATGGATAAATAATATGGCATATTCACATAATAGAATAGTAAGTACTTATAATAAGGGGAACAAGCTGTTCATACAATAACCACAAAGAATACATCCTGTGTGATTACATTTTTATGAAGTTTGAGAACGATAAAAACTAGGCTGAAAGAAACAGCATAGTGATTTTCAATAGAGGGAAGGGCGGACTGACAGAGGGTGCTGAGGGGTGTTCTCAGTTAATGGAAATGTCTCTATATTGATGGGGTGTGGGTTACGTGGGCACATGCAATGATCAGAATCAGTTAAACTGTATGCTAACATTGATGTGTTTCACTGTGTATAAATTATTCCTCAAGTTAAAAATATGGGATGGCAAACAGGGATCACGGTAATTCACATTAACAGAGGGAACAACTTAAGTCAGCAACAAATACCATTCTGCCTGGCAAAATATTGAAAACTTCCCCCTGAGAATGGGAAAAGATACAGATGTCTGCTACCACTATTATTCAACATTTAACTGGATGTCCTAGCCACTCCAATAAAGCAAGAAAAATACATAAAATGCATAAGTGTTAAAAAGTCATTATTACCTAGTAACATGATTGCACACATAAAAAATCCAAAATAATCTATAAACTATTATAATTCATAGGTCACTCTAGCAAGATTTCTAGACACAAAGTCAGTTTAAAGACCACTGCGCTTCTACATGTCAGCAACAACAAATGAATATGAAACCAAAAATTTAAAACATTATTTACAATAACATCAACAAGTACCAAACCTCTGGGAATCAGTCTAAGGGAAAATGTGCATATCTCTGCACTGACAACTAGGACACTTCAATGAGAGATTAAAGAACCCAAACAAGCAGAACTATATACAATGTTAGTGGACTGAGAGATTCATATTGTTAAGGTATCGTGTCTACACAAATTAATCTTTCGATTATGTGATCCCAATCAAATCCCGACAGGTTTCTGCAGAAATCAAGAGCTGATTCAAAACTGCTTGTGAAAATGCAGATGGCCAAGCATAGCCAAGGCAATATTAAAGAAACACAGCAACGCTGGAGGCCTCCCACTACCAGACATCCAGATATTCATACAGCTGCCATAACTGAGGTAAACTGGTGTGAGCAGAAGGAGAGACTGACTTTGAAAGTAACAGAGAAGAGCAGGCAAGAAGAAAGCTTAGAGAATTTGTCCCCAGCAGAACCACTCTGAACAAATGGCTAAAGGAAAATGTTCAGACAGAAAGGAAATGATAAAAGAAGGAAACATGGGGAATGAAGCAAGATCAATGGAAAGGGTCAAATATGAGCGCGCATAAGTGCTACCCCTCTTGAGTTTTCTACATTATGTTTGATGGTTGAAGTAAAAATTATAATATTGCCTGATGTGACTCCAAAGTACATAGAGGAAATATTTAAGGCGATTGTATTATAAATGGGGAAGGATAAAGGATAAGGTTTGTACACTTCACTCAAACTGATAAAACGTGGAAAGCAATAGACTGTGACTAGTTACATATGTATAATGTCATTCCACTTACAAAGCTATACAAAGAGAAACGCTGTAGAGCACTTTAGATAAATCAAAACGGAATGCTCAAATTTAAATAACTCACAGTAAAGCAGGAAAAAAGAAAGGTGTTGGTGGGGCGGGTGGGATTTCGGGAGAGTGGGGAAGGAAGTGCAAGCCACGCAAAGGAGAGTGAAGAAGTCAGGGCATCCGTGTGAGCGTAACACGCACAGGTGAGACCTACAGGAAGACAGGTGGTGCTGGCACAGAAAACACATGGCAGGAATATTACTAGAGCAAAGCAAGGCAAGGTCCAGACCACTGGCAGCCTTGAATGAGAGGCATCAGAGCCTGGGCTGCTTCTGAAGGCACTGGGTCAGGGGGCAAAATTGAACCTCTTTGTTCCCCATCAGAGTTTTGTTTTTCAAAATCAGTAGTCCCCAGCCACCCTCCTCCACTAATTTCTTTACCAGAGTCAACCACTTTCAAATATTCCAGCTGAGCCTTATGGCATATACGTCCACACTTCTAAATTACATGCTTGCACTGATACTTAGGTTTTTTATTTTAGGCATTACCTATTGATGTTTCACATGAGAAAATGAGGATTTAGGTGTCTACCTACTGCTCCACCGTACATACGCACATTTCCTACATCCCAGCTTAAACGTGTCACAACTTCGGTTGGTTCAGAATTCAGTGTTCACATTATTACAGTGATGTAAGTGCTATCCACAGCTGTGCCACGTCATGAACTATAATCACTTCTCCTTTCTTGCACACCTTCCCCCTACCCTGCCCCAGAATTGATACTGGCTATATTGCGGGGTTTGCTTTGTTCTCTATATAGTTATCAGTAATTCTATTTCAAATTTTCTGCCAGATGCCTAGCTATCAACTCAAGCTGTTTATTCACACCAGGGATTCTATCCGTTACATTATTTTGAGGAAGAAATCTTTCCCTGAGTTTCTGACCCCCTGCGCTCTGGCATGGTTGTCCTCCTCACCTGGCCCATGTTTCCATTGTCATCCTGGCAACTCGTTTTCTAAGTTGAATCTCTTTTCCTTACCTCATGTCTTCTTTCCGGTTTACATTCTCATTTTCACAGAGCAAGTCCTCTAGTAGCTTCCTTTTGAAAAAGAGTAGGAGAGAGGAAAAGTTTTGAAGACGATAACTCTGAAAAGCCTTATTCCTTCATTGCATCGATAGTTTGGCTAGGTATAGAATTATAATTGGATATTGTTTTCCTTCATAGTTTTCAAGAGATTGCTCCATTTCTAGTCTCTTCTTTTGCCTTTGAGAAACCTAGAGCCACTCTGGATCTTTTTCATGTGACCTGTTTCTCTCTCTCTCTGTCTAGAATCTTGTAGAACCTTCTTAGAGCATTGTGGGCCCTTTAATTTTGGAAACTCATGTCCTTCAATGCTGGGAAATTTTATGGAATTATTTTCATTGATGATTTGTACTCTTCCATTTCTCACTCTTTTTCCAGAACTTCTATTATTTGGGCATTGGGGTTCCTATATTTACTCTATAATTTTTCTTAAATTTTTTCTCCTATTTTCCCTCCATATACCTTATTTGCCATCCTTTCTGGGAACACTCAATATTCATACATTCCCTTAATATTCCTGAATTCATTATCTTACTATATCTTCAGCTGTGCCTAGTATTCTCCAGATCAAGATTCTACTTAACTCCCCAGAGGAAGAAAAGTCCTTTGGTCTCTTGCCAGGGTTGGGAGGAGCAGTCAAGTGGCTAAAGAATGTGTGGGAGGGAAATTGTCTCAAACAGATTTCTATCAATCTTTATTATAGTTCATCCCCTTCCTTAACCATCTTATTTCCAAAATGCCAAAAATCCCTAACCCTTTTGAAGTTTCTATAGTATAATATAAATTTATTGGGTTCTTGGTTGTCCACTAAAATTTACTATTCAACTACCTTAGATGCTAAATCATTACCTCTTATCCCTGCAATTTCCAGAATTGTGCTGCTGTGGTCTCAAATCCTCTCCTTCCTAACCTTGTACATTTATGCTTTTAAAATTCCCTTTATTAGCATCTTAATGGGGTTTTAGGAGGGGAACATAATTAGATGCATGTGTTCAGTCTGTCATCATATCCAGAAGCCTATAAGGAATGTTTAGTATAGTGTTTTTATTTTAATGATGTTCTTTTAAAAGGTTAATATAAGCCTTCTTGGTCATCTGAACCCTTAAAATGAAGTATTACCATGTAGTTTCAGTGACCACACTTGGATTTATGGTTATTTAGCAATCTCCTAAGCTGTCATACTTGAACAAACTCCTAACACAGTGTTTCTCAAACTGGAAGGTGGGGCTTTTCTATATGTGTTCTCATACTTGAGAAATTACTGTCAGTGATATGGACCCACAGAACGTTTTAAAGCAGAATAAAGGTACAGTCAGATCTCCATTTTTTATAAATCAGTTAGCTGGGTGAAAGGTGAAGTTGGGAGGGCAAGATGTGAGGCAGGGAAGTGAATTAGAAGACAGCTATAATCCAAAAGGGTATGGGTTTCTTGTAGTAGAGGTGAATAGATAAGCACAGATTTGAAAAACATTTAGGATCATGATGACAAAGGGTTCAATTTGGATTCCAAGCTAATAAAAAAGAAAATCAGTGTAACAGTCTTAAACATCATAAACAGAAAAATCATAAATAACTATGACTTATTTTGAAATAGTTACTGGCTTATGATAAGTATGATATTATGGCAGCACAAGTAAGATGAATGGTAAAATAATTTTAAGATGTGTAATTTCAACATTTTTGTTTCGTATTGTTACCAAGACCAATTATAATTGTGCAAAATTTAATCAATTGCACTGTGTCACGCAAGGAGGCAAATTACCTATTGTCAAAACTAATTTCTCAATTCTGACAAAATACCATTTATTTTTTCAAGAAGTTGACATTTGCAAGAGGTCTGAAAAAAGGCTTCCCATTAATAAGTCTATAGAAAAAAAGATGAAAAAAGAAATCTTTTAAGTCTTGAAAAGCATTAGGCTCTAATTGTTTGAATCACAAGCGCTAGCCCATATTCCGACTGATCCAGAACATCCCAGCCGATAGTCAAAATTTAGTCATCGACTGTATTTTCTTTTTTGCAAGCTCAGTTTCTACTCAGCATCAATTCAGTGCATAAATTTGTCTTTTTATAAATTCTTGAAATACAAATGGAACAATTCTCATCATGTTTTTTTTTCATAAAACAATCATCTAAAAATGGTTTTGGTTGAAATGACAGAATCAGCCTCTGATAGATAATTATAATATATAATACATTTTGATTAGGAACTTGCTTGCAACTCATGCCATTACAGATACTGAAAAATAAATTGATTTGAGTAAAAATACCTTTTTTACAAAGATGCTTACACAAGATTTTTTTCAGAACATACAGTATTTGAAGTTTTGATCTCTTTGTTTCGTAAGATGGTTTCCACATCTTAAGTGAAGTGTATGTATTATACACTTTTCAAGATTTTAATTCAAAGTAATGATACCTTTTATTTCTTAAAAAAATGGAATGAATTATATTTCACACGTAAGCAAAAGAAAAATATTAACTTTTTATTATGGAAGTATAAAGACAATCATTTAAAACCTGAAAATAGTCCTAAATGTATATGGCAAATGAAAAAACATCTATTCAGGATAATCTAGTAAAATTTGATGAGTCTGGGTATATGAGCCCAAACTTCTCCCTTTTTCCCTACTCCAAGCTCAGTGAAAAAAATCTCCACCTAAGTTGGGGCAGCCAGGAACAGAGCCCCCTCTCCCCTTGGCTCCCCGTCAGAGGGCTTTCTTTCTGGGAGGAGCAGGTTAGCATTTCTCATCCTGCCCCAGCTACCTGTTGTTGAGACTGTTCTGGGCAAGCATGCCCAAGAAGTGGGGACTCTTCTGCTCAGCCTCCACCCACAGAATGGAGACTCTACCTTAGGTGTATGTCACTGAGTGCTGGGGCCTTGGTCATCCCTGCCCTGTCTTATAAGGCAGTGGTTCCACACCAGGAGATGTAAGCCAAGAAGACCTGAAGCTCAAGTCCTAACAGGGGTATCACTCAGAAAGAAGCACACCGTTGTCCCCACCCCAGCGCCAGAGCCCTGGTTCAGAGGTTTGCCTGGGGACAGAACACTTGGAGTGGGAGGGGAGGCTTCACACTGAATAAGCCAGAATAAGCAAAGAAGCAGAAAAGCATCTTACATTAGAAAAAGGCAGGCAGCAGGCACTGCCTGGTAGGAGTGGCCAGATGTTGGTTGGATCTAACAGAAAAGACCTAAAGGTATCCATGAGAAGGACACTGTCAGACTCAAATTCAGAGGCAGTTGTAGCACGATTAGAACCGGAGGAAGTCAGCTCTGTCGGGAATGATGAAGCCCCCTGGAGCCTCTGGGGACAGTATTAGCAGCTCAGCAGGTAAGGAAACTAGATGCAGAGAGAACTAGAGACAGCATGGATGTCTCCTACCAAGAACTTGGAGGAAAAAGAAAGAGAGTAGCTTAGAAGAGGCCCGCTCAACAGAGGATTTTGTTTGTTCTAACTTTGTCTTGCTTTGCTTTTTAGGATGAGCTATTTGGGAGCATGTCCATGCGCTGGGATACTGACCCTGTAGAGGGGACGAGGATGGCTTCCAAGGCAAGGTCCAAAGAGGTAGGAGGACACAGCAGAGATTCTAGCTGTCACTGGAGGGGGAGAACCTGGAGGCATGCGGGTGACGATGTCTGGGCATGAATACGTAGGGAGACGATTCTCTGGGTCTGACACATTTCTACACATGGTGTGAACAGAAACACTAAATGCCTTTTCAAGATGATCTTTTCAAGAATGTTAATGTAGCAAACAGCCTTGGAAGATAAAGACAGAGGGTGCAGAGGCTGGGTTTTCTTCCTGTCCAGTATAATAAAGATAATGCCTCCCTCTAGGACAAGGGCAGGTTTCCTTTCAGCCCACTGTAAACAATTCTAGTTCCCTTCGCTCAAGTTCCTCAGTTGCGCAGCAAACCCATTGTGTAGGCCCTCCTGGGCCCCTCATGGGGTGAGTGACACAGTCATGCGTGTGAGGTGTGCTGTGCCCTGAGTTATAAAGTCCTTTGCCTGATCCAGGAGGTTCATGTCTTCTGCATGACATCTATAAACCTGTAGCTAGCCAACAGGTCAGCTTGCAAGTTGCGTAAATCTCAGATTCTCACAATTCTTGACCGAAGATAACTTTGTAGCTAGGGGCATAGGATGTTTAAACTCTGCTGTCAGAGGTATGGCAGGGAGAAGAACAGGCTTGAGGGAAGAGGTGGCATTCTAGAATCACTGTGGAGCAGGATGGCAGCTGGAGCTAACCAAGGACAAGGCGATAGATGGTGTGGAGTGCCCAGCTGAAGCCGAACTGTGCAGTGCCGTTCTAGTCTGGAGTGAAATACTCTGCAGCAGCTGTCAGCCAGGCAGCATGGACCAGGGGCCCTGCAAGTGGGGGTCAGAATGTGAATCCAGGAGCACAAGGGAATTTGGGTTATGATGAGAGAATAGCTCAGATTGCGACCCCCAGAGTCCTGCCTGGACAGGCAAGACCGCTTCCAGGAGAGGGCTGATGTGCTGGCAGACAAGTGGAGGGGTGGAGAGACAGAGGCCCTCTGAGGCTGCAGATGGGGAGGGAGAACTCCAGGTGGACAGGTAGGAGGCTTTGGTCCAAGAAGCATTTCTCCACTGAAGGTGCTGGAGGTGGACCAGAATCATTAACATGGGTGGTAGGTGGTCAGCTCCCACACAGGAGGAGAGCACCCTCCCCTCCTTGAGGCTGGAGTCCAGGCAGGTGGAGGCTGGGCTATGGTGGAAGCCAAGTGTGTAGGTTTGAAGATGGAAAGTTGAAGAAAGTAATAGTTACCAATTCCGTTTCTCCATGAAGTAAGTGAGGCACTTGCAGACAGGAGGGTAGGCATCGGACTTGGGGGCTCAGAGAGAGGGTCTGATGCTTTATTAACCGTTGAAGAAATGGGAGCAGGTGCTGAGCAAGAAGTAAGTAGTATCTACAAGGATTTTTGACAATTGAAAACCATAAAGATTGAAATAAAAGACTTGAAACCATTGATTCTAAGCAGTGCCTGTTAGCAGGCTAACAGCTCATTCTACTCAAGTCTTGCAGTAAAGGAAAGGGCTGTCCCTATGAATGCCCTCTGACCCTGACTTGGCCCACACCAGATGGGGCAAGAGAACTGAGCCTGATCGACCATCCCTGACCAGGGGTGCAGGCCCAGGAAGCTTTTCAGGAAGTCTTTCAATTGGACAGGCCCCTGTTGCTGCGCCCAGACTTGCTCTGATACATGAAGAACAGGTGACATTAGGAAGTCCGTGTACTGGACCAGGTCCCTCTCATCCTTACAGTTCCTGACAGTTTGGGGTCTGGGGTATTTCATAGGGTTTGGAGGTCTAAGACCCAGGACACTTCCGTCTCACCTACTACCACTCCTAGAGAAGGCTCTCCTACCAGAACAGGGGTGCCAGCTTCCCCGACCGTCCTGGTGATGCCAGAGGCCCTGCCAGACCTTTGGGGGTCTCTCTGCTGCTGAAATTTCCAGGTTGGCCTCGGCTTGAAAGAAGAACGCAATGCGACCGAGGGCCCTGGGCCGCCCTGTACAGTCGTCACCACAGGAGAGATGAAGTCTCAGCTCCCCCACCCATCCGGTCCCGGGAGGCTCCCTACCTCAGCCCCTCCACCTCCTGTCCGGTCCGAGCAGTCCGGGTTTGCTCCGCGGCCCCCCACACCCCCTCAGCTACTCTGGGGAGCCCACCCTCACGTCGCCTGCACATCTGGAAGGACCCGAGGCTGGGCCCAGGCTGGAGCTCGGCGGGAGCGCCGGCTGGCCGAGTGCCCCGGGCAGAGGGCAGCGGCAGGGAGGGGACAGGGGGTGCGGGCATCTCCGGGAGCCCGCGGGACAGTTCCGCCTCCGGACCCCCTGCGCAGCCCCAGGGTGCGGCGGCGGCGGCGGGTGGTGGGGCCGGGCCCCGGGGAGGCGCCGCGGGAGCAGAGGGAGGGCAGGGCCGGGCGGGGCAGGCGGGGCAGGCGGCCGCCTCCAGGAGTGCAGCCCAGCTCAGCCCGGCCTCTCCTCTCCCCCGGGGACTGCGACGGACGGGGCGCCCGCGGCCGGGCTGCATGGGGCTCCCGCGCGGCCGGCTCTTCTGGCTGCTGCTCCTGCTCGCGGCCGCCTGCTCCGGGATCCTGCTCGCCCTGTACTCCTCGGCGGTGGAGCCGTACCCGGGGCCCCGCTCCAGAGCCAGGTAGGGGCTGCGGCGCGAGACCAGCGGGAGGGGACGCGGGCTGCGGCCCTTCGTCCCCAGAGCCTCAGCCCGGCGTTGGAGTCGCGCCCTCCGGCCCCACAGCCTCTGGAGGTCCGAGGGCGCCCCGCCTGCGCGCCCGCGGTCCGCTCCTCCCGCCTGGCGGGCCGGTCCCTCGGGCCCTGCGCAGAAACGCCTTCTAGCGTCAGGCGCGGCTGGGTCGCCGGAGTCCGATAATAGTCGGCAACTCGCCCTCGGTCACGTCACAGTTTTCAGACTCTACTTTCGGGGTAGGGACTCCAGTGTCCCAGTTCCAACTTTGCCGGGGTCTCCGGCCAGGCTATGGCGGGCCGCCGTCCCGCCCCGCGCCGCCGCCCTGCCCGCGCCGGGCCCGGCTCCCGGCTCCCGGCCGCGCGCTTTTCATGCTGATAAGCGGCGCCCGGCGCGGGGCGGGCTCCGCGGGGGCCGGGGCGACTCCGCCGCGCTCAGGGCGAGCTGCCCTCGCCTGCGCCCCGCAACTCCCGCTCGCTCGGGCACCTTCGTTCGCAGGAGAAACCCGCGAGTCCGCCTTTGGGAGGTGATGGTTCCAGTTGAGTATTAAGGAAGCCCCGAAAGGATCGAGTTTTTACCCCTGGAGGGCGGCCCGAGCTGTGCCCCCAGTCTGGTTTGGGAGGCCGCAAGGGGGCTCCCAGCATCGCGGAGCGGCCTGTAGGCCCAGCTTTCCCTCCCCAGCGCGTTCCCACCTGCGCACCCCTCCCTAAACCTCGCCGCAGGCAGAATAGGATAAAAGGAAAATTAGCATCAGCTCTCCGCAAACAGGATCAAACGACGTCTGAGGTCGGCACAACAACCTGAAACAGGTTTGCACACTTTCAATGTGAAACGGATTAAGTCCAGTCCCTTTGGGACAAAGGGCTGTAGCAGGTGATGCCTGAAGGTACTAACCTCCTTGTAGTCAGAAATTGCAGGGGGAGCCAGACTGAAGGATTGAAGGCATTAAGAAAAGGGATCCTTGTCAATTTCACGTAAAGATGCTTTAAAATACATTTAAACATCCTTTCAAAGTACCTAATAAAACCTTAAATATGAGGTTTGCTGAACATCCCTTACACCTCAACAAAGCTCTTTTTTAAAGATCTTTAATCTTTTAAAGATCTACTACAACCCAAGAACCTGTTCCTTTTCTTGTTGTTTGCGTGGTATTTACCCTGTAGCTAAACCCTATCCACTTCCTAAATACCAGGAAGTGGATACTGAATGCCCGGAGAAGCAGGGTGGGGGGCAGGATGTTCTGGGCGGGGAGAGCAGGCTGTGCGACCCCGCCAACTGCGGAGCAAAAACGGACTTGGCCGCAGTGGAGAGTCCAGGGCAGAAGGGCGCCGGGACCCGACCTGCCGCGCCTAAGGCGGGGGCTCTCATTGCACGTGAGAGTGGAATCCAGCCCGGGAATTTACCCACGAAGGCTCTGCGTCAGTAGTTCTCAGGCATGGGGATTTCTAGCCTTACAAAAAGAAAAGATTTTTTTATGGAGGAGGGGTTGAGAATACATATAGGACGCCAGTTGCCACGACTTTTCAGCATTAGTTTGTAAAAGAAAGGACATTTTAGGGTCAAGAATTCCTAAGATTTACGAAAAACATACCACAGTGGTACATCACTGATCCACAGTCTTGTTTTCTGCGGTTTCACTTACCTCGAGGTCAGCCACAACCCGAAAGCAGACGATGCTCCTTTTGACACATAGTCCTAAGGTCAGTAGCAGCCTGAGGCTAAGTCACAAGGCCTACCTCGTTCACCTCACTTCATCTCCTCACTTAGGCATTTTGTCATGTCACAGCGTAAGATGAGCCCAGTACAGTAAGATAGTGATTGTTAATCTTACTGTGCCTAATTTAAAAATGAGCTATGATTTATTTCTATAAACTCATGTATATACATAAAAATATAATTATTACATATCCATATAAATGTATGATTATTATGAATATCATGTACATATTCAATTGTTTTATTTATTTATTACAGGTATATATGTATAGGAAAAAATAGTACATAGAGGGTTTAGCTCTATCTGTGGTTTCAGGCATACACTTGGGGGGTCTTAAGACATATCCCCTGAGAACTGGGGGGATTACTGTACATTGTGTTTATTTCTTTTTGGACTGGTGAAACTTCCCAGAGGGGCAGAGGTGGCCTGGTCTCTCCCCACTCCTAGGCTCAGTAGGTGTCTAGAAGCCCTTGATTTCCTAAGACAGAGGGGCTGGGAGGTATCATTGAGTGCTGAGGGGTGCTCTGGAGATGAGCAGGCCTCCCTGAGGCTGGGGGATGTTCAGCAGAACTGAACTGGGGGGACTCTCCATCACCTCCCTGGCAGCTTTCTCCCTCCTGCC